TCTCTTTCCTTATTCCCCTCAAATCATCCTCCACATTGCAGCCAGAAATGATGTTTTAAAACACAATTCTAAAATGCCACTGTCTCCCAAAACCCTTCAGTAGTCTTCCACTGCTCCTAGAGACTGGAATGTTTACCTGCTTACAAGGCAGGGGTTGGCCCCTGCCCACCTTTGCAGTTCCATCTCTAGATGGATGAAAGGCTCCCTAACTTCCACTTTCCTCTCCCTTCCAGCATGTTCTCACTCAGAGCCTCTGGGCCTTTTGTCCTCCTCACTGAAATGCTCCTAGAGGTTTCTCTCCCCTCACAGCCACCTGGTTTACTCAGGCTTTAGAGCTCAGCAAGTCCAGTCTACTCAGTTTTCCTTTTGAAGTTCCTATAACTTCGGTTCCTTTTTTGAGGTTGTACATGTCTTAGTATTAGCATGCTTATTTGGTTACAGTTAGTCTCCCCGCTAGACTGTGAGTGCCTTAAAGGCAGGAACCTTGCCCATCTCCTTTACCACCAGCACCCATCAAAATGCCTGGCACAGGGAGGCAATGAACAACTGTTGAACGAGTGATATCCAAATCGACAGCAAAGGAAGCGGCTGGATAGCGAGTCGTCCGCTCAGGAGAGATTCTGGGTCGGAAATAAAGATCTGGGAGTCACTTATAATTCAAACCAGACGAGCGGATGGGCTCGCCCAAGCGGTGTGTAGACTGAAGAGATTCTAACTCATGCAAGATAAGCAATTACGTGGCTCACAGTCACGTCGCAAAGATGCTGGGGGCTCTCCTCCGCCTGCTTGTGGTCCCGTACAAGGCGCTTCCCACCCTGGGTCTCTGAGCCCAGTCGGTGAAAGACGGAGGCAGATCGATTCACAGCCCCAACAGCGCCGAGGACCTTCCCCCGCCACCCCTTCCCCGAGTCCGCCACCCCTTTCCCTCCCCTCCCCTCGGTGACTTCCTCCAACAGCTGACGAAGCTGTGTCCCTGGGCACCGCCTCTTCCGTCCGCGGCGCCCGGAGACGCCCGGAAATTTGCGGGCGCGCCGGAAGTTGAGAGGAGTTTCCTGCGAGCTCGGCTTCCTCAACATGGCAGCGCCCTTGTCAGTGGAGGTGGAGTTCGGGTGAGTCACAGAGCTGGGGCACCATGGGGATAGATTGAAGTCGTCGGGCTCGGAATTCCTTTCCTTCTGCCATGGGGCCTGACACGGCCGAATCACTGGGTGTCCCAGTGCCCGCTGTGAGCTACGCCACCCGCCTAGGAGAGTCTGAGAGGCCAGTCTCCCTTAGCGATGAGGCCGCATGTCGGGAAATAGAGGCGCACATTGGGAGGGAGATGCTCTCTGTTTACCCCTTGGTGCCCTGTGCTCCGTCGGAGTCGAAGGTCGTGACTCTTAGCAGGCAGCCTCTCTATCTTCTTTTCCATTCCTGTGTCGGACCAATCCCATCTGTTTGGCATCTGCATCTGAGCTCCTAGAACCAAGAAGGACCACCCCTCCACCCACTGATTTCATTCTTTGGGCAGCAGTTTCTTTTCACACAGTTACTAAGGTCTTGTTTCTCGTGGGATGTAGTGGCCAGGGCGGGACTTTTTTCTTTTTCTTTCCCAAGACTTGGGGATACTAAACAGACCCGAGCCTCCTTCAGGACAGTCAGTAAACTTCTGCAGAACTTGAGTGCCTTCTGCAGAACCTGAGTCAGGTGGCGATATGGGGACAAATAAGAAATCACACTGAAGGGAACTAACACGGACAGTATAGTATACACAAGACGAAAAATGGAGAAATTGGGACACACACCAATTACCGAAGAAACACAGAGCAGGGAGGAAGTCTACTCAAGGCACTATTTTGTGCTTCCTACAAACAGGTTTATCATATGGTTTCAAAGCTGAGAGAAACTGCAGAGTTTAGAGAGAAGACAAAGAAACTGACACCTTGAAAGATGGGTGGTGTACTTTCCAGAATCACTTGAAAAGAGGGAATAGGTGTGTATGTGGGTGTGTGGGTAGATAAACAAGCCAAGGTCTATGTGAAAGGCAAAGTCTGGGATGGGAATCTAAAACCTCTGCCCAGTGCCTTTCTTCTCATTGGATGCCTCCCGTTTCTTTCATGTTTTCCCTTAATTGGGTAGTTCATTCACCAGCCATTTATTAAGTGCCTACCATGTGCCAGGCAGCAAGCCAGACACTGAGGATACAAAGATAAATAGAAGTCTGTCCGTGCCCTACAGCGTTCAGCATTTCTGCCCCTTAAAGGGGGGTAAGTCTCATGACTAAGTGCATTTTAATTGATATTGTCTGGCTGCTTGGATCCAATTAGAACTGTATTGGTCTGGACTCCTCACTGTTTTGACTCACTGACCCTTGGCCAGCTACACTTCCTAAAGCCTGGGATTCTAGGAGGATCCCTTCTTCCTTAATAGGCCTCAGCAGAGCTGGAAAGAGAGAAACCACAGGCTGCTATGTTAAGATTTATCTAGGCCAGGCATGGAGGCTCATGCCTGTAATCCCAGCACTTTGGGAGGCTGAGGCAGGAGGACTACTTGAGCCCAAGAATTCGAGACCAGCCTGGGCAACATGGGGAGACTTCATCTCTACCAAAAA